GGTGCCCGCGCCACGTGCGGCGACGGTGCCGCAGGTGTGGCAGTGCGTGGGCCGCGTGGAGCGCATGGAGCTGTGCTGCTGCGTGGACGCGCTGGCGGGGCTGCTTCCCCGGTGAGTGCCCGCGGCCCCGCTGCGGCCCGGCCCCGCTGCGGCGCGGCGCGGGCGGTGCAGTCAGTGAGCCCGGGTCCCGCAGGAGCCGCCCCCGGGCCCGCGGCGAGTGCGAGGTGCCCGCGCGGGCCGTGCTGGAGAGCGTCGCCGTGCGGGTGCTGGGCGGCTGCCAGCTCGCCGTGCGGCTCCTGGAGTGCTGCGCCAAGGCCTTCCTGTATCCTCTCCCGCCRGGACGAGCCCGGAGCGCCTCCCTCGGCAGCGCGAGGCCGGCTCCACTCGAGGGCCCTGGTTGCTGATGGGCCCGGGGGCGCAATTCCCGGGAGCGGGGCCGGGGTTCCTCCCATAGCCACACACCTCTCCAGGTTATTGGGGGGCCGCTGTGCCGGCCTCGAGCAGCCCGAGCCGGCCGCTCTCCCCAGTCGCCCGGCATGTCACCGTGTGCGCTGCCGCTGGCCGTCGCCTCCGGCAGGGCTCGTCCCGCGCTGCGCGTTACGGAGCTTAACGGGTGCCACGGCAGCCTGTYGGTCCAGCACCTCTGCTCGGAGGAGTTCATCCTGCTCAACACGGTGGCGGCGGCGCTGCTCAGCCGCCTACGGTTGGTGCCCTCGCCCTCCGTCCTGCTCGTTGTCCGTCTCTGACGTGCCAGTCGGGTAGGGGAGCTCCCAGCTACGCCTCGCTGCTGAATGAGCTTCCTGCAGCGGGGAGACGAGGGAAGGATCTGGGAAGGGAGGGGTCCTTCCATCCCCTTGGACTCCATTGCAGCACGGGAGGAGTGCAGTGACTGGAGGCTTCTTGGGGGCTCTTTGGAAGCTCTGGCCTTGGTTCAGTGCAGGCCTCATGTGGTGAAGTTTCTGCTGAGGCTGGCGCTGCCGCAGCGCGTCCTGCCTCGCCGTGAAACGTGAGGGCAGCGGCACAGCCCTCCTGGAGCCCTGCTCGGTTTTCCAGGGAAGTCATCATTCTAGTCCCTCAGTCCCACAGAGCAGCAGCAGGAAAGTAACTGCTGTCCGGAGCTGAGGAGACAGCAGCAGTGCGCAGCAGAACTCACAAAAATGGTGCTTGGCACCAGGAACGGGTCCTTCCCGGGGGATGYGGAGGAGGAGGCGCGTGGGCATCAGCGCCAGTGCAGCTGCCCCGAGCCGGAGCGCGCTGCTCTTTGGGGAGYGTCTCCTGTTGAAAGGCTTGGSCTTGGCCTGGCAGCCTGCCGAGCCACAGGGCTCTGGGGTGCGGGGGGCTCCCGAACGGGGCTCAGCAGTTAGATGGGTCCTGTGAATTGAGCGTTGCCTCAGAGATGGAAGGCACGGGGCTTGTGTCCCTGGTGCCACAGGGAGCTCGGCGGGAGGACACACACTGGCGGGGGTAAAAGAGAGYGCTCGCACCAAGGGGGGTGAGGGAAGAGCCCCSCRGAATYGCCTCCATGGGCTCTCTGTGCCACGCTGAAGGTGGCTGCGTGGGGAGCACAGGCCAGGAGGGCCTTGCTGGAGCTGCTCCCCACTTTGTGCCTTTCCCTGCAGGATGCAGCACCGGGAGGTGCTGCAGAGCCTCGTTTCCTTATACGAGGCGCTGTGGGCGTTGCTGGACCTCGTGTCAAAGACGCAGCAGACGCCCTACATCGAGGGGTTCACCTTCCCTTCCGACATCGGTGACTTCCTYGGAGCTTCCGTCTCTGCTGAGCTGAAGAAGATGTCCAGAACTCCCAGAGCCACCAAAGCTGCCGGCTGGCTGAAGAAGCTCTTCCCAACAGCGCCAGAGGCCCAGGGAGATGTCGTGACCCACACAAGCGTTGTGGAAGACAGGAGCCTCCTGGGCCCCACAGACATCGGGGAGCCGGTTGTGGCTGCTGGAGCCAGCAGAGGTAGAGGGCTTTKCTGCAGCTCTGCTRCCTTCTGGCAGCTCCCAAATGCCATTCRATTCCCCAGGAGCTGAGCTCTTCTGCCATAGAYGCAGAGCGGTCCAGGACAAGCTCCCCTTTTCCGTCCTGGTGGGGAGGGAGAGAGGGGAGGGAGGACGAGGAGGGAAGCGGGGAGAGCTCCCTGCCATTCCCAGGTCTCCCTGTGTCCTGCCAGCTGCTTTGGGCTCTCTTRGGCAGCCACAGGGTCTCCTTGCAGCCATTCTGAGCTCACGGAATCTATCCTTATCYGCTGCCAGGGGGGATGAGCGTAGTCGCTGTCCCCTTCCCTGCTGCTTGCAGCAGTGTTGAGCGCGGGGGGCTGCTGACAACAGCCAGGCCCTTGGCTGTCTCTGTGGGAAGTCAGTGACTGCCTGCATTTAACCACGGCCGTTCTGCCCCTCTCTCTGTAGGGAAGCACCGTGGGCTTGATGTGAAGAGCTTGCTCAGACCATCCTGGCACCCAGCCCAAGAGGTTTGTTTGTGCAGAACCCTTTTACACCAAAATACTTACAACTTCAAAATACCCTTAGGCTCAAAGTATCTGTGATTGGAAATGTCCCCTTGCCCCAGCCTTGCCTTTCAGAATACCTACTGCTAAAGCACTAGCTGCCTTGGCCTTAGGTTGGCTTTGCTGACCTGCAAGGTCAGCATGGAGGCTTTGCATTGAATTAATCTTTTTTAGGAGTTTGAGCAGGTCATGGTGGCTCAAACAAAATACAGCCCTGGAGAGCTGCTCTTTATTTCACAACAGCGAGTAAATACCAGACAGGAATACAGGTTTTAATTGTCGGCCTCTTTTTGTATTCCAGTCAACAAGACTGCTCTTCTGCTTTCTCATTAGGAAGTAAAAAGTGTTGTCGYGTCTCCCTCCCTGCTGTGCCCCTGTCCAACGGGGGATATCAGGTGTGTTGTGTTTTTAAAGAGCCACCTCCTTCCCTTTTGCTCTGTTTCAGGATATCAGCACCACGCCARCTCCTTCTMAAGYCAAGTYAKTGGCACGTTGCTCTGGCGCGGCCAAGTCCCCGCGTATCCGCTCTCTCGTGCGGACGCTTCAGGGAGCCGCCTCCTTCGGGGAGCTCTCGGGAGCGCTCCGAAGGGCTGTTCTGTGGTGCAAGGGCCACAGGCTCAGAGCAGCAGCTTATTTTCTGCRTAGCAAGTTACTGAAAAGCAACYGGCTGCACCACGTGGAGACTCAGGGATGCAGGTAACTTTATATGAGCATGGGGTTTCCTGGTCTGACACTTTGCATTTTAATGAGTATTTTGTAGGGATGTGCAACCCATTTTCTTAATTTTGAACGGGATCAATAGTTAGGGCCCCCAGGCATTCCAACATGAACCCGGTGGTTAGCATCCGTCACTGGGGACGGGATTGAAAAGGTGAACACACCTACTGTGAGCAGCTGCTGACGCCGTGTTTTGTGCACCTTGCTGCCCCAGCTTGCAGAGAAAGCTTTGCTGTGTCAAAACATCCGTCTGCAAATTCCTCCTCCGTGGCCCTCAAAGCGCCCGCGGGCCAAGGCCGCGCCGCAGGACAAGGCTCTGCCAAGGAAGGATCGGGCGGTCCAGGCGGTCTCAGGAGACTCCCAAGGCTGTCCAGCGGAAACCTCCTGGGCATCTTGGAGGTTCTTCCTTCTTCCCACCAGTTTTCCACGCTGCTTCTGTGGGTCCTGAAGGACGTGCCGATGCCGACAGAGCCGCTGGAGAAGGAGGCAAAGTGGGGTCCCCTCCGCAGCTGCTGCCGGGAGCAAAGCCCGGCTCCGTGCTGAAGGAGGCTGCAGAGAACATGGATATTGACTCCATCTTTGCAGCAATGGGTGTCTGATKTGGGYTGCAACCAGGAAAGGGTCAGGCTGGACCAGGAAAGTCATTCTGAGCTTGTTTGCTTTTTTTCCTAATAAAAATCCTCAGAACCCCTTATTGCAGCTCRGTTACTCGCACTCTGAATTCTACTCAAGTAGGGCTGTACTGCAAAGAATCCACAATTACGTTAAACCAAGGTTTTTGTCAAGGTCTTTGTTATGGAGGAGCATCCCAAACAGCAGCCTCACYGTCATCTTTTGGAGTAGCCTTGTCCAGGAACAGGGGCTTTGAGTTACCTCCAGCTCGACCACCCYTTCCCCTTTCCCCAGCTTTAGCATGGGGCACCTGCCTGAGCAGGGCCCAGGGCAGGAAGCCTCTGAGGGCAACAAAACCTGGCCCAGGTGAACTCCCTGCTCCTAGAGGGAAAGGAGAACAAGGCAGCCAAGGTTAAAAACCAACCTTCCTCCCCARATAAGCATACGTCCTTTACATACAGTCATTAGCACTAAGAAATCCACTTATGCAACTTGTGAGAAAATTCACTGGTGTAATTAGTTTCGTTATGAGGAGGGGACACGAGGACAAGATGTTTTATTCACAKAGGGAGCAGGAACAGGAAGGAAAGCAGAAGTTCAAATGGCCTGTGCTTGAAGGCACAGGTTGTCCAGTTATCCACGATCCCTTTTCTAGGTCTCCTGTCACAGAAGGATCTAATAGTGACTTATGTAGTTGTAAAGAGTCAGCTCCTCYGGATACCTGACAATATAGTCCTACCTCAGGCAGACTTCTCACCATTAGAAGAACCTTTACAGCTCACTTTTATATTTCTTAAATTTCAAAAAAGGGTATAAAATATCCCAAAACACCACATACCATCAGGTCACGCTCATAGGCTTGAACACTGCTGAGTGAAGGCTCAGAGCCGAGGCAGACACCCCAGCACTGACCTGCATCCTGAAAAACCCTCCAACAATGCACAAACCCTCCAACAAAGCAGGAATTCCCTGCTTTGGAATTCCCGAGTTCCAAGGAGCTGCCCAGCACGCGCAGGGCATCAGGACCCGTAGTTGGCTTCATCAAAGGCCTTCCTGGCTCGTTTCAGTTCCTCGTTCATGGTGAGCAGGTCCTTAACTCTGGCAAACTTGCGGGGGTCCTTGCGGATGAGGAAGACGATGTCCTCGACCTGCACGCGGCCCTGCCGCCCGATGGACATGGCCTTGTGCGTCTGYCGGGGCAAGAGCACGGTTAGCGGGGCAGCGCTGCGCCCTCCATCCCTAGGGATTCTTTCCACGCTCTCCATTGGATTTCTTGGCACTTTACAAGCAAGCAGTAAGCAATTTGGGGAGCTGGCACCACAACCCTTGCCACAGAGGCGCTTTTTGCCRGTCAGCTATTGCCAGCTCAGACACCCGCCCCAGGCATGCACTGAGACGGGGTTGAGCCTAGAGGAAACTAAAATCTGCATGGGAATCCCTGAACCTGCCTGGAGCATCTCAGGGAGACCATTCCACCCCTTTTTGCTGAGCTGTGTTAAGCCGGGCACGTCCCCCCCCGCCCCCCGCCCAGCGGGGCTGCAGGACGGCGCACGCGGGGGCAAGGGCTAAGGTGGGGGTCTAGCTCGGGCTGAAGGCGGCAGCTGCCCTGTGGGTCCGGCCTCACCATCTCGGTGATGAACTCGATCACGAGGTCCTCCAGGATGTCCACGGACTCGGTGTAGGGGTTCTGGTCGTCCCCGAAGCCGTACATCATGCAGCGCACTGCGGGCGGGCGGGCGGCAGCGCTCGCGGCTGCTGCCGCCGCCGCCCCGCGCCCGGCCCCGCGGCCCGCACTCACGCTCCTTGGAGAAGAGCCGCTTCCTGCGGCCCTGCCCGCCGTCCAGGCCGCCCGCCGCGTCCTCCGCGTCCTCCTCGAACTGCGGGGGGACACGCGGCGCCCCCGGGCCCGGCCCGGCC